ATAAACCTTAGTCACTCAACAAAACATGAATGGAAAAAGGAAAAGTTTTGGAGATGAAAGTGTAATTAACCATATAAGGTGTAGTCTCCATCTTGGATGACGGGAACAACTCCAAAGGGCTGCAGACGTGATCAACAAAGAAGATGAATGAGAAGATAAAGAATTAATGGAGGAATCTTCAAGAGAGAGAGAAAAAAAAAAGAGTTTTTGAACCTGTAACTTGAGATACTCGGGATTTTTGTGCTCGCCCTTAGTGACATCGACAGGGACAACCTCAAATTCGATCTCCTTCTCAATGAGACAAACCAGCACCCGTTTGGTGGAAGCACAGTGGGGACCGTACACCTTCACCACCATTTTTGATTCTCTTCGACAAACAATACCGAAGTGAAAGAGCCAAACACAACTTTTGCTTCTGGGTAACACTTCTTATAGTGACTCAAGTGAAAGAGTCAAATCACATTAAAAAAAATATTATTTATACAATAATATCTACTACATGATTGATTGTATATGATATTTTTATAAATCATTTATGCGAAAATATTTTTTAACTTCTTTTGTTTCTTAATACAAGTTTTTTCCTTACTTTTTGTAGCTTTTAACTTTTTCTGACTTTCTTGGGCTTGAAAATGCTCTTAGTCGATGAAAGTGTGCAGCAAAGAAAGAAAAGGTGATGTTGATGGTAGGATCTCAGGTGAATATTTATTTATGTAATTTAAAAGAAAAGGATTATTGTGCATGTAGAACACTTGGCAATGGAAGAATAAAAGTATTGGACAGATAGATGAAGGGAGAAGAATCATACATTTATTTTGGCAAGACATTTGGATGTACGACAATTAATTTAGTTGTTTTGTTTCAGAAATATGATGTTGTCATTTTCCATTTTGAAGTTGCCTTCCGTCTTGGTCTTTGCCAAGTACATGCCGTCTTTAGTAAGTAGTTTGGCAACTCCATGATTACCGCCATGACATGACCGGAGGATCTGTGGTGAGCAGAGGAGAAGTTGTGATAAGATTGTGTATGGATCATTGAATAGATGGAAGAACCAAGATGATGAAATCGAAGATGGAAAAGAAGAAAAAAAAAAGATAATGAAAGTTTGAAACATTCTTTTTATAATATTTTAATATTATTACGTTATTGATCCAAAATTATTTTATAATTAATAATAATAATAATATAAATATTAACACAAACACATAAATAATATTAAAATAATATTAAAATATTATTAAAATATTATTAAAAAATTATCAAAATATCATTACTTAAAATTAGTAATTTTATTAAGAGATTGAAAATATAAGTAACAAGACGATTTTAAAAAATTCATTTTATTTGAAAAAAATTAAAATTTGATATATGAATATTAAATAACACTTTTCAAGGACATGTGTAAACGGTGTATATATTTTAATGAAAACTCGTTTGTCACGTGACATTAAATTTAAGGTAATTAAGTGAAAAAGATTAAATTTATTGTTTTATAAAATGAAATGATCAAACACAATCAAAATGAATGACAGAGAACAATTTTAATTTGCTTTTATAGATAAGATATAAAAACATATTTAACTTTATAAATTTTATGTATAAAAATAATTAAGTTATCTCTTTTAAATAATTAACAATAATAATTTATATTTCCTGAAATTTTAAAACTCATGTTAATATAAGATGAAAAGTGACGAAGGATAAACATAATAATAAAAAGTCCACTAAAAAAATTGAAATTTTATGGATTGATTTAGATCTCTCTTTGTAGCGATCTTATATTTTGATATTTGTCAAAGAAATCATTATCCAAATATTATTGTGTTATTTATTACTTTACTCATATATTTTTAAGAGAATCATGTGGTTAACTTGATTCATGTCTAATATATGATCTTTATATAAAGATATTCAAGGATATGATAATTATATTTTTCATTGGATGTGAATTAAATAAACTATTGATCATAGATCCTCTTTCTTATTTAAAAATATTTATATTTTATTTTATTTTAAATTAAAAAGTAGTATTAAATATTTCTTGCATTTAATCTTTTGTTGATTTACTTTTATGTATCTATTATAAGTTAAGAGACAAAAAAAAATATAGCCACTATTTACTAAAATTTAAAGCATTTATTTTATTTTTTAGTTTCTAATAAAAAATACATGAAACGAAGTGATATAAAATATATAGTTAGTACATACTAACTTAAATAACTTTCGATTCATATAATATTAATGGGTTTTAATTTTGTCATTTTTTTATTTTTCATTTTTTTTCCTAAAATATATTTTATCCAAACATAACGAGAGTTTACATAGTTACATTTATTAAAATATTTGTAACCTTAAAATAGTTATTAGGGACATATAAAGTCCGATTGCATGTCTCAAACTATTACAAAAACAAGGAGTAGGCCTCATAAATTTTTTTAATTTCAAACTAAATTTGTTCTGTATTAATTTTTTATTTGAATTTGAATTTAACTCTGATTNTTCATACATACAACTCAGATCATACAACATGCAGTATAAATTAAACATATAAGCTTCCCTTACCTGGATAGCAGTGTTCGTTCTAATAGTATCACTTGGACTTGCCCAACTTATGGTTTTCTACCCTCCAAGATCTTTCTTATTCTCTTCAACTAAGTCTAACCAAAGAAACGTAAACGATATCAACTTAAGCCCTTGCATGTAACTGAATCTGGGTTCGAAGGAATTCCAGAAACGAGCTTATGAGTTGGAAATCTTACCGTCAACAGAATCTGAAGTTGTTCGGACCAAAATGAAGTTCACGGCGTAAGGAACGTTCCTACGGTTCTGAATGTTAAACGGAGAAGAGATGAATGAGTAACAGTAGAGAGAAGTTTTAAGGTTTCTAGAGAGAGGTTGGAGAAGATGAAGGATTTGAGTTCTGAGAAAGAGGATGAGTGGTGCAGGTAAGAGAGAGAATTCTAGGAAATCCAGTTTTGTGAAATTCACGTTCGTTTGAGCGAACGTACCCCAAGCTGACACGTGCCCACTAAAATCTGAACTGAAAGCTTCTTCTGCAACACGTGGCGTGTGTGCATGTGAAGCCATGTGCGTTTTCAGAGAATGATGGGTGCGGTTTCAGTGTATGTCAGAGAGTTTATCAGATTTGGAAATGAGTTTTAAAATGAGATAAGCATGGATTGAGGGGAGCATTAATGGTGATGTGACAGGTAATTTACAGAGTAATTTTCAGGGTCTCACACAGAAGAGAAAAAATCTCTCTTACGTATGCACAAAATTTATGAACTTTTTTTAAACAAAAATCGATTTCTTTCATAAAAATTAAAATTTCCTATGATGTTTCTTTTTCATATTTTATTAATTTTTAGTTCAACGTTTTTCAAACTTTCTTCTAAAACAAATACATAACCTAAAACATAACTAACCCGGTTTCAAACTAGCATAATAACTTTTTTTTAAACCATTTTTTTGACAATAAATAAATTATATATTATTATTTTATTAGGTTGTATATTTAAAATAAACCAATTCCAATTTATACATAAAAATTGTTAAAAAGGTTGTGAAAAAATTGTTAAACAGATATTTATTTAGTTTCAGACAACAGTGTAAAAGTACACTTATTACAGAGAACAAGCACGTAGAAAGATAAATGACAATAGTTGCAGACTCCATTGAAGAACTAGATCGGAGGTTGGTAGAGTTCGATAACCTTCTTCCACGACGGTCTACTGCTTATCTCATCCCACCAAGCACTCACATGCTTCCTCTCTTTAATCAAATACCCTTTATTCATCTTATTCACAATGTAATCAGTGAATGGAAGATGACTTATGTCAGCAAGACTGAAGAAATCCCCACCCAGATACTTGCTCTTTGACAGTCTCTCCTCATAAACATCCAACACCTTCACCAGCTTTGCTTCACTCTCTTCCGCCACCTTTGGATCTGGAGTGATGCCTAATAATGGACCAAACAGAACATGCACGGCCAAATCATACGCCGGTGGATTAAAGTTATGTGCTTCAACTTCCAGCCATTGTTCCACTACACCTCTCTCTTCTGCTGTCCTCCCCAACAACTCAACCCCTTCAGATCTGTATTTCTCTGCATAATACCTCATTATGGCACGTGATTCTGCACAAACAGACCAAAAACCAGACAGATTTTAAGGTTGGAAAATAAACGACGATAAACCTTAGTCACTCAACAAAACATGAATGGAAAAAGGAAAAGTTTTGGAGATGAAAGTGTAATTAACCATATAAGGTGTAGTCTCCATCTTGGATGACGGGAACAACTCCAAAGGGCTGCAGACGTGATCAACAAAGAAGATGAATGAGAAGATAAAGAATTAATGGAGGAATCTTCAAGAGAGAGAGAAAAAAAAAAGAGTTTTTGAACCTGTAACTTGAGATACTCGGGATTTTTGTGCTCGCCCTTAGTGACATCGACAGGGACAACCTCAAATTCGATCTCCTTCTCAATGAGACAAACCAGCACCCGTTTGGTGGAAGCACAGTGGGGACCGTACACCTTCACCACCATTTTCGATTCTCTTCGACAAACAATACCGAAGTGAAAGAGCCAAACACAACTTTTGCTTCTGGGTAACACTTCTTATAGTGACTCGAGTGAAAGACTCAAATCACATTAAGAAAATATTATTTATACAATAATATCTACTACATGATTGATTGTATATAATATTTTTATAAATCATTATGCGAATATTTTTTTTTAACTTCTTTTGTTTCTTAATACATGTTTTTTCCTTACTTTTGTAGCTTCTAACTTTTTCTGACTTTCTTGGGCTTGAAAACGCTCTTAGTCGATGAAAGTGTGCATCAAAGAAAGAAAAGGTGATGTTGATGGTAGGATCTCAGGTGAATATTTATTTATGTAATTTAAAAGAAAAGGATTATTGTGCATGTAGAACACTTGGCAATGGAAGAATAAAAGTATTGGACAGATAGATGAAGGGAGAAGAATCATACATTTATTTTGGCAAGACATTTGGATGTACGACAATTAATTTAGTTGTTTTGTTTCAGAAATATGATGTTGTCATTTTCCATTTTGAAGTTGCCTTCCGTCTTGGTCTTTGCCAAGTACATGCCGTCTTTAGTAAGTAGTTTGGCAACTCCATGATTACCGCCATGACATGACCGGAGGATCTGTGGTGAGCAGAGGAGAAGTTGTGATAAGATTGTGTATGGATCATTGAATAGATGGAAGAACCAAGATGATGAAATCGAAGATGGAAAAGAAGAAAAAAAAAAGATAATGAAAGTTTGAAACATTCTTTTTATAATATTTTAATATTATTACGTTATTGATCCAAAATTATTTTATAATTAATAATAATAATATAAATATTAACACAAACACATAAATAATATTAAAATAATATTAAAATATTATTAAAATATTATTAAAAAATTATCAAAATATCATTACTTAAAATTAGTAATTTTATTAAGAGATTGAAAATATAAGTAACAAGACGATTTTAAAAAATTCATTTTATTTGAAAAAAATTAAAATTTGATATATGAATATTAAATAACACTTTTCAAGGACATGTGTAAACGGTGTATATATTTTAATGAAAACTCGTTTGTCACGTGACATTAAATTTAAGGTAATTAAGTGAAAAAGATTAAATTTATTGTTTTATAAAATGAAATGATCAAACACAATCAAAATGAATGACAGAGAACAATTTTAATTTGCTTTTATAGATAAGATATAAAAACATATTTAACTTTATAAATTTTATGTATAAAAATAATTAAGTTATCTCTTTTAAATAATTAACAATAATAATTTATATTTCCTGAAATTTTAAAACTCATGTTAATATAAGATGAAAAGTGACGAAGGATAAACATAATAATAAAAAGTCCACTAAAAAAATTGAAATTTTATGGATTGATTTAGATCTCTCTTTGTAGCGATCTTATATTTTGATATTTGTCAAAGAAATCATTATCCAAATATTATTGTGTTATTTATTACTTTACTCATATATTTTTAAGAGAATCATGTGGTTAACTTGATTCATGTCTAATATATGATCTTTATATAAAGATATTCAAGGATATGATAATTATATTTTTCATTGGATGTGAATTAAATAAACTATTGATCATAGATCCTCTTTCTTATTTAAAAATATTTATATTTTATTTTATTTTAAATTAAAAAGTAGTATTAAATATTTCTTGCATTTAATCTTTTGTTGATTTACTTTTATGTATCTATTATAAGTTAAGAGACAAAAAAAAATATAGCCACTATTTACTAAAATTTAAAGCATTTATTTTATTTTTTAGTTTCTAATAAAAAATACATGAAACGAAGTGATATAAAATATATAGTTAGTACATACTAACTTAAATAACTTTCGATTCATATAATATTAATGGGTTTTAATTTTGTCATTTTTTTATTTTTCATTTTTTTTCCTAAAATATATTTTATCCAAACATAACGAGAGTTTACATAGTTACATTTATTAAAATATTTGTAACCTTAAAATAGTTATTAGGGACATATAAAGTCCGATTGCATGTCTCAAACTATTACAAAAACAAGGAGTAGGCCTCATAAATTTTTTTAATTTCAAACTAAATTTGTTCTGTATTAATTTTTTATTTGAATTTGAATTTAACTCTGATTAATATATTTTAAAATTATTTTTGAAAAACGATTTTATAAAATAATTTTCTGAATATATTTACAAAAAATTATTCATAAATTATTTTAAATTTTTTTTTTACAAAATATTCTTTTAATTTGTTGGTAAGTTAATATTAATTTATGAGAAATTAGTCTTTTAAAGTGTTTTAAAGGAGTCATTAGAAAAAAAGTCCTGTGGTCTGTGTTGTGAATGTCTCTTTCCGTGTAGAATTTGTTTCTCTCTTGATGAGTTTCTAAAAGCATGTGGTTATAAATTATGATAGATACTAGATTTAAGATTTAATTTATAAAAAAATCATTTTTTTAAAATTTTAATCTTAAAAGTATTAAAATAAAGTTGTACTTATTTATAAAAGTTTTCTCGGGTATTCTTTAAGTTTTTATTTTAAATTTATAAAAATATTCGTATTTAATTTTTTCGTATTTTTCATTAAAATTTTATAATAATTATTAAGAACTTATATATAAGTTTAAATTTCGTATTAAATAAAAGTTAGAAAATTAAACACGGTATAATTCCACCAAATAACTACTTTAAGAAAAACATACTTTTTATTTTATTTGCTATAGTTTTTGCATAATAATAATAATAATCAGAAGTAGAATTTAAAAAAAATTGATAATAATTGCAAATTGTTTAAAATAACTTCTCATAAAATTAATTTTCTTTAAAGTGATTTTTTTTATTGTAAACAAACATTAATTAAGTTCCCTTTTCCACAAAATCTTTAAAATATAAAATCATTGAACTTTTTTATTAGATAAGACAACTAATTTTAAATAAAATTAAATCTTTCAACAATCCAGATCTAAAAAACGTGTTCTCTTTATGCACGTCTCTATTTTATATGAAGGAAACAATCCTTTAATAGGAACAAGAGTGTATCTATCTCTGGTAATATTATGGATTTTAGGAGAAATTTTTTAATGAGTTAAAAATAGACATGAGTGCAATATTATCTAAATGGAGAAGTATTATTTTAATATTTAGTATTTACCAACGTAATCTCGCGATAACAACACTTGTTAATGGACTGATAAATAAGAAATGCAGTGTGGAAGTATTGAAAAGATGCTGTGAAATTAGAACATTTCATTGGGAAGTTGTGCGTGTTACTCTTTGATAACATAATAAGAAGAAAAAAAAAATCACAACTAATTATATGATAATAATATATGTATTAATATAATAATATAGATTAATAAATTAATGTAAAAATAAAAATATGATAAAATATTAATATAAATACTGGTTAAGGTATTATTTTTTTATCATTGAAAATTTTTCGAGGGTATTATTTCCAACTCACTTGCGATTTTAATTAAATAAATAGAAGTTGCTCTATTCCATTATTACCCACATGAAAGACTAAATAATAGAAAAGACTACAAACACGGATACATTTGAACCAATTGAAAAGTGGAACTTCTCGAAGAGGACAAAATAGTGTAATGTATTAAAATTGTTTCGATAAATGATTTTATTAAATACTATTCCTATATCTTCCTCGTTAGTTTAGTTATCTTTAAAATGTGTCAATTATTTGAGTTGCATTATAAAAAAAAGTTACTTATTACTTGAGTCGGTATGATATAGATGCTGAACTGAATATATATATACACCCAACTTTAACCAATGATCAAGGAAATCAAATGTCCTTTGGAATCAAAATTTAATATATAAGCCAATAAATATAAAGTAAAAACCATAATAGTCTTTTAAAAAAAAAAATAGTAACTATATCTAAAATTAGGTGATGACTAATGCACCACCACGATTTGTGAAAGAAACATTGTAAATGTGCTAGGAAAGAACATGATTGCTCAAAGACTTGACAATTGCTCTGTCGATCTTTCAACTTCTTTTTTTTAAAATATAAGGACACACCCTTATCGTCAAAAATCAAGGGCAGCTTTTCCAATATACAACTAACATATCATATTATTCGAAGAATGATCAGCAACTAGTGGGGGGAAAATAGTATATTAAAAGAAGCCGCCACCCTTTTTATTCAACAATTCAGTAGCTTTCTCATTTTCCTGAGAAGGAAAGTATTGTCGTTAGTGCTTACGCAGGGATGAGACTATTGTCGCAGACTGGTAGATAGTTTCTACGGTAATGCAAAATTTGTATAATAAACAGCTGATGCAGACCAATCAGCATACTGAATGCAGCTTATTAGCAATTAGTTTCCAGAATATTGAATTACTTCCCAGATAAGATACTACAATAAGATGAGATGGACATATACAGTTACCAAAATGACATCGCATAAAACATGACTTTTGACTATAGCCGCTGAGACGATGCACTATCATTTTCTTCAATGTCGTCAAATTCCACCGGTTTCCCTCGAACAAGCTTCCTGTAAATCAAATAACAAATTAGAAGGACATTTACAGATACATATTTAAAGAATTAACGAGTAAAATATAATTTCAAAATAAAAATTTCAGTGGCAACAAGGCATGCCAAACATGGGTATACTTCAACCATTAGAAATGATTTTTTTACTCTACAAATGAGTTAAACTCGAGTGAAATTTCTATGTTCAACAAAATTAAACCATTACTAAGGAATGCATTTAGCATGTCCTTACTGAAATTGTCACTCTTGTTATGTGGTTCAAAGAAATTTTATGGGTTCCAAGATTTTACGTTCTTTTGGTTCAAAGAATTCCTTTTTAACTGATAAACAGATTACAATCAGTTGTTAAGTTGAGATACCTTTGAGATATAAAATTCTTAGACAGTGCCTTATCCAGCCTCTCTTCAAACGGGGTTGCATGCCATTTTACTTTCTGGTCCTGTGGACAATCAGTCAAAGACTACTAATCAGATGGAGTATAAAGATTTAAAAACCTTATAACACCAAATAATGATTGCAAAACATACCTCCTTGTACTTAGTTGTGGAATTCGGGATGCCATTGCCATACCACCACTTAAGAGAAATGGGAGAATGCTCATCAATGATTGACAGAGGAGTTAATCTAGCAGACAAAATCGATTTCTCCTCATTGTCATATCCATCTGAAATTTTCTTCAACCCTTGTTCTGGAGTAGGAGTTCCATTTTGAGATTGGTCAACCAAATTACTCAGCTCACTTGAATCTTCTTCGAAACTAAAATCCCCGGCCTCTAGTATTTTGCATCGAAAGACATTATCACCTCGATTGTTAGTTGGATAGACAAACTGAGACCGAACCTGAGCCTTACCACTACGTAACTCTTCTAATGATGTAGGATACACAGTTCCTGGTGTTTGCATCTCATCGAATAACTTTAACGGGGTAGGATAAGGAGATTGTTTATATGCACTTTGATTGTTTGGTGATTTGTTTTCTTTCATATGCCAATCGTTTGATGATCTTCCGTAGGATGCCAAGTCAGTTTCTCTTTCAAAACGAACAGACTTGTTCTTTCTCTGAGTATTTGAGGGTAGCAGAGGTGAAACTAAAGCTGCATTCCTTTCAGAAATATCTTCCCCATGAGGGTTCCCTGCACAACTTTTTTCTATATAGTCAACAGAGTCATCGCAAGTATCTTGTGCTTTGGAGACGCAACTGCAAAAGAAATGAAACTAACATCCGATCAGGTTCTAGTTCTCCCTCCTATGTAATTGCCAGTTGACAAGTCCAAGTTCCAACCAACACATCCCGACAATTAGCAATTATTTAAAATCTAAAATATATAAGGAATGAAGGAGCCGTTTGAAGGACATTTCTCTTAAAATCACAGACTG